AAAATGGAATCTTAACTTTTTAAAAACAAAAAGATTTTCCCTTTACTTTCATAACATAAGTTTAGATTAAATCGTGTTTGAAAACAGGGGCAAGGAATTCAGAACCATCATAAACAAAGCAAGGGATGTTATAAAGTCCGACAGATTAGCCGTTCTCGGACGCTGAAGAGATTTAAACATGCCCTAGTCACAGAGAGCAACTAAAGATAAAAATTCGGAACACAGCTGGATTCCTGGACAAGGATTATCTTATACTGGCCGAATATGTTAGCAAAACCATCAGCAACTTCTTAAAATTCGGCGAAACGGGAACAAGCAGCCTCAAGCTGAGTAGAACCTGAAGTATTTCTTCCTGGAAAATGAATTCCCAGGGAACTGTACGTTCCATTGAATTTTGAACAATAGCACTGCGGTGGGGGGGGGGGCTTTTCACCCAAGGCCAGTCATAAGTCATGAGAGTGCTCTGTAATATCGTACAATCGCATGAGAAAAATTTAGGATTACTCGTAATTTTGAGCACGAGCTAGGAAGTGCAGAACAAGTCGCCACGAAGGCGGGAGTGATCAACACTAGACTTTACTTCCACGAGTTCACGGAACAAATGCGCTAGTCATTAAGTTATCCAGAGGATCCGTCCAGGTTCGAGGCTTTGTGCTCATTTTCGTAACAAGTTTATTTTTTACGCAGAGGATTTGTTAGTCCCACGCCGAACCACCAAGCTGGAGGACCACCCTTTGTCGGCTGTCCGCGACTGCTTATTCAGTATATTCGAAGACTCCCTCCACACCTGGAGGGCGTTTCCTCCATCCGCAACCTCGGGACCCGCTATGCCGTGGTGATAAGAGACCCACCTAACATGGTGTGTTGAGGAGAATATTTGGACCGAAGAGGGATGAAGTGACAGGAGGTTGGAGAAAACTGCGTAATGAGGAGCTTCATAACTTGTACTCTTCTCCAAGTATAATCAGAATGATCAAGTGAAGGAGGATGAGGTGGGCAGGGCATTTAGCACGAATAAGGGAGAAGAGGGATGAATATAGGATATAACATAACACACCGCTTCCAACAGTTATTATATTGTTGCGTGTGCATATCCATTGTCAAGGAGACGTGTTTAGCGAGCCATTGCCTAGCAACGGGTATATTTTATGATTCTGCTATCCCAGCATTCAGCAGACGTCACAGAAATAATGCATGGACAATAACGCGACAGGACGCTTGAAGCCCATAAGGATTGGGCTAGAAGAAGTATTGCTGTTTCCGAGGAACGTCTGCGAACAAGCCTGCAACCATAGGACATCGAGGGAGGATGAAGACGACGACGAGGGACGAGGAGGAAGAAGAAGTGATGATGAGACAAGAGAAGTCGAGCGGTCAAATGCAGCACCTTACAACAGAAGAGGAGTAGCGACTGACAAATCCATTTGTGACCAGAATTCAGAGCGTATCAAAGGTAGGATGGTGGCAACATTACGGAGAGGTCAGAAGCTCGGCAAAGCGACATGAAGGACAAATATATTCCAAATAAAACAGCAGCTTTACTAGAAACTGAATTGCTTTCAGGAAAACTGAAATATCCTTATGTGACATTGCAATCAGAGGAAGAATGGAGAAAATGCATACTGAAGAGCCTTATCGTTTTCACTCACTAAAAAATATTAGGATCATGATATCAAGGATGATTAGATGGGCATGAAACGTAGCATGCATAGGAGAGAAGATACATTTCATACCCACTGAACACATCATTTACTTTCGTCCTACGTTTCGAAGCCATGTAGCATATCAAGTTAATTAAAACATCCTTACAAAAACCAAAAGAAAAAAAGAAAATACTTTGTGGCTCTAGTCCGCAAGCGAACTATACCGACCGAGCGACCGCCGCTTGTCGGTGAAGTTAGTGCCAACTTTAGTGGATAGAGGGTGTCACGTGGTCAGCGCAACGAATACCCACGGCCGTTAATTTCTAGACCTGAGCTGCTATTTCCTTGAAATATCTCCTCAGTTATCCTTACGAGGCTGAGTGGACCCCGTTCCAGACCCATTACTTCTCACAAAATCTGGTAGCACCGGGAATCGAACCCGTGACCTCTGGATCTGTAACCAGGAACTCTGACCACTAGGCCACAGAAATAAACGTCCTGACACAAGCCAATAAATAATAAACTTCTAAGGTTTTACAAAAGTAATTAAATCTGCTTAGGTGGAGTTTGTTCGCTCCACTCATGCACGCAGTTTATGTGTCACTGCGCAGGGGTGGGGGTTCATACGTCTTTCGGAGTTATATTATGTTAATTATTGGAGCAGAATATATTAAATATTTCACTGGCTCAGAGACAAGCTGAAGCATCCTTTCTACGTGATGTGGGTACATAAGCAGGACACGTAAGCTTAAGCCAAGTGATGGCTATTATTCTCTTGCAAAAACTGCAAATAAACTTCGTGTCCGCCCCCGGAAATACAAAAACTGTGCATGAGCATGATAAAGGAGAGGAACTCTAGACACAACGCAGCTGCATACAAGAGCAGTGCAAATGGACGTGTGATTTGGAAGCCTGGAATATCTGAGGTCTGTACGAGGCAGGTTCGCTGAAGTAGTCATCGGGTGCAATTAGACGAATACACATTTTCCATGGACACTGGAATATCAACTGTTTCTTTACGTTCTACTTTATGGAAGTCACGGGACCAGATCACCAGTTCGGCGCACGGTGTTCAGACCAGACCAGAAGGACACGATACAGTGAGATTCGTTTCATTTCTTTCAGAACAAGCAAATTATTTGATTCTAAACTGTTCTGACGATGGTGGATGGCACATAGAATTACTGGGGTTTTGGACCTTTTCCATCGTCCGGAATTCTAGGTAATATAGGACACGATGTTTCGGAAACTGGATTTGTTTACGTCTTCAGGTGAGAAATGAAGACACGTATTCAGTTGGGCGCCTTACAAAAAGAGAGCGCTTTCTAAGGGGCCCAACTGAGTAGGTTTCTTCATTTCTCACCCGAAGACGAAAACAGATCCAGTTTCCGAAACGTCGTGTCCTCCATTACCTAGAATTCCGGACGATGGAAAAAATCCAAAAAGATAGTAAAGCCGCAAGCAAACTGTTACAAATGGACGGAGGGTTTTGTGACATTTCCTTTTTCTTTCAACTATACCTGAATACATACCTGTATGTAAAATACAGCTAAGCGGAACTGTGAAAATTACAGGACAAAGTGGAAAAATCTTGTTCGTTTTAGTGTAACTAGTTTCTTAAATGAAACATAACAATTCAGAAATATTTAACTTATGCACACTTTTGAAACTAGGGCCTTATCTGACAATTTAAGTGGCAAAGCCTATAAAGCTAATATTTCGCCTGTTGGTTTCTGAGGCTGTTAAAACTAACCTGTGACCCCAATAGAAAGAGCATAGCCTGAGAATCCATAATTAGGTTATTTGAATTGTGACACCGTGTAGTTTTGTATGTGGATATTAACGTACCGAAGGAACACACTGTCTCCATTTCTATGATCGATATTTCACTCTGAAGATAGAGGGAGTATTTTCCCCCGAAACGTTAGTATCCACCTACAAGACTACACGGTGTCACAATCCATAGAGGGAGTATTTTCCCCCGAAACGTTAGTATCCACCTACAAGACTACACGGTGTCACAACCCATACAGCACAATGTAGACGCATACAGAAGTGAAAACCTCAAATCTTATATAGGCCGAGGATGCAGGAAGACAAAGGGTTAAGAGGAACACTTGAAGAGGGAAGAAGTGACTGGGGACTGGAGACAGTTATTTAGTGAGAGGATGATTTGTTTTAAATAATGGATAACTGAATATTATAGAAAAATATATCAAAGTAGATCCGGCAGCAGGAGAAATAAAAACTGCTGATGCGGACGGGAGAGACTGGAGGGCCGTAAGTCAAATGGGGCGATAGTACGTCAAATTGGGCCACGACACGTCCATTCAGCGCCCTTTCCAATTCGCTGTTCATTAATCATCTTCTCATTCGACGCTATATTTTCTGAGCTACAGACAGGCTGTTAGATAAGGACGATTACAGACCTATAGTTAGACCTGAATAAAAATATCCACCTCACAAATATTGAATATTTTGATAAAAAGAATTAATTCGAGGGCATCCAGCATTTTGGAAGTAATTTACTGAATAACAGAGACCGCATTTTATTTTTTGCCTACCTTCCTTTTTTTTCGAAAAATAAACACAGAGAACTATGTATATGTTGCTGTCTCGTCACCAAAATGCAGGGCAAAATCATGACATAAAGATAGGAAACAGATGTTTTGAAACTGTGGCACAGTTCAGATATTTGGGAACAACGATAACAGATCGAAACCTGATTGAGGAGGAAATTAAGAGGAGACTGAACTGTGGTAATGCTTGCTACCATTCAGTCCAGAGCCTTTTGTCTTCTCGTCTGCTGTGCAAAAACATAAAAATTAAAATATACAAAACTATAACTTTATTTGTGGTTTTGTATGGATGTGAAACTTGGTCTCTGACATTAAGGGAGGAACATAGACTGAGGGTGTTTGAGAACAGGGTGTTGAGGAGAATATTTGGGTCGAAGAGGGATGAAGTGACAGGAGGCTGGAGAAAACTGCATAATGAGGGGCTTCATAACTTGTACTCTTCTCCAAGTATAATTAGAATGTTCAAGTCAAGGAGGATGAGGTGAGCAGGGCATGTAGCACGAATGGGGGAGAAGTATATTGGTGGGAAAACCAGAAAGAAAGAGACCACTGGGAAGACCAAGTTGTAGGTGGGAGGACAATAATAATATGAATCTTAGAGAGATAGGATGGGATGGTATGGATTGGATTGATCTGGCTCAGGATATGGACCCGTGGAGAGCTCTTGTGAGCATGGTAATGAACCTTCCTCTATTTTTGGTTATTATCCCGTGCTTACATAGCTGTTGTCTGGGAACGCCTTGATAAAAGCCGTTACAATAGTAATGTTTCGCCTTACCGTTGTCATTAAGGAAGTCAAATCCCAAAGCGTTGGCATTTCTGGAGATGTTGGTTGTAGTATTTCCGCTGGGGTTGTCACCTGAAATATAAACAAAATGAATTTATAATCCTAAGGGCATATCATTTACGATTACATACAAGAAGAAACACGTTTTTAATAGGACTTTATTTATAACTGCAATTTTTGCAAATTTTCATACGTCATTGGTCTACATATTCATTCTGTGCAGACACAAAGCTCTTACTGCACATACAAAATTCCTATTGAGATACCAGGGACAGAAATAAAACACAGATGTCAGAGAAATGTTGGAAGGTCTACAAGAAAGGAGCTGGCTCAGCTATAAGATTCGCGACAGGATCTAGACGTTTTGAGCGGCCAGCTCAGAAGGCGATGAACAGACGGCTGCTGTTGATAATGGGCAACAGGCCCACTCCAAATACTCGAAACTTATCCGCACAAAGTCTACTGATTTCCAGAGAAGATCTGCGCGCCCGTATCGTAACGAGGTTCCTTAGAAAATAAAATAATCTCTAATCAAGTTACAGGAAATATATATACTAACCAAAATTAAATTTTTGTGAAAGTTTCGAAGCCAAATTTCATCGAAATCCGTATAGTGGTCTTGATAATAAAATATATTTACAAAGAGCAGAAGACACCACAACTCCATTATGCGTTCATGTATGTAGTTCGAGCGAGTAGAAATAGGCGCTACATGCTTCAGAGACGGTGACAGAAAATCTTCAATTTGCTATTCACATAAGCCAAGGCGGAGCGAATGCTTGCAGAACAAGGACTAACCGATACACAATACATTTGATAATGTACTACACCTCTCTTTATTGTAACATTCAGTGATATATTTTTCACGACGGGTTACATCCGTTTCCAAATGAAATCTGATATTATAAAATCTCTTGATATTCCTCAGGCTCTTGGGGGGGAGGAGACACTTTGTGTGTTTACTGCTACTGTGGGTATTTTACAAAAATATGACCATCTATATCGCTAACAAAATCGATATATCGCAATAAATTTAGTAGACAGGGAGAGAAGCCATGTTACAGTGAAGTTGAGACAATCTGGCTAAGCCATCCCATGTGCTCCCTGCACCTGTTTACGTCACAGCTCAGTTATGATTCACGTCAGAGACCCCAGTACGAATCTCCATTGGTTTACTTTATGAGGCATTTACCTCGGCCCCTCTTTTCTGAATTTATAAAGGCTCCATGTTCCATTAGCGTCCATTAGTGGGCCTTTGGATCACGGGTTTGGAAAGGTGTGGTGAGGGGGGGGGGTGAGGACAGCTTGTGCGTGATGGAAAATCAAGTTCGTTGAAGAGCTATCCCCTTTGTACGGATCAACCAACCGTATTCTGGCGACTGTTGCGTACTGAACCGACGTGAAAGTATGACGTCAGATATGTAACGCGCTACCGGTCCCGAAGGAAGTGGAATACCATCATAACCTGAAGTTCCCGTCGCCTGTGTGAAAGGTGGGGCTGCTAGATTTGCGTTAAGCACGCTGTAACGGAGAACCCGTCGCGCGGGGGAGCTGCAGGCAAGATGCATGCTACGAAACGCTCTCCACTTGCACGGGAATTTTGACTTTAAGACTAAGATGCTGAAGAGGATAAGAGTAACAGTAGACTGTATAGAATAGTACGGTTAAGTCTAAGATCTGAGGTTATCACGGCGGTGACTATGAAGAAATCAGTCTTCTGGGATGTGGCGGGGTGTAGATACTGTGTTAGCCGACGTTTCGGAGGAACGTATCGCCTCCATCTTCAGGGTAGAAACAAGAAGAAATACGGGAACGAAACAGCGTGAACTCCCGTATTTCTTCTTGTCTTCTATCCTGAAGATGGACGCGACACGTTCTTCCGAAACGCCACTTAACACAATATATACACGGCGACACATCACAGAAGACTGCTTTTCTTCAATATGGTGAAATGTTTCATAATTCATTCTATTCACTGAATATTATTAAAGGCAAAGTTGTCTCTACACTTAACAAATTAAGGACCACGCCATGAAGACGTAGGGGGTGCACGGAGAGAGCCGTTGGACCCATTGGATAGCAGGCTGGGTGGGCCCCAGGGTCGGTCTGGACTCTGGGGAGAACAGAAAAATCTTTTTCTCCTGCCGGGAATCTAACCACGTTCCTTTCGTTGTTGAGCCCGTAGCCCGTCGCTATCCCGGATTTCCACTGCAGATTGTTAGGATGATAATATCAAGTAACCAAAATGGGTGGGTTATGTAGCACGCATGGGAGTGACAAGAACTGCATACAAGATATTTGTAGGAAGACCTGAACAAAGCAGATCACATAGGAGATGTACACTATATGAAAGCGGGAGGAGCGTGAATCTAACAGGTTCAGATTTCGCGGGGCTATACTAGCTCATGCATTTTCATGCAATGGTGTCTTAAACGACATGCATAACTTCTTATCTTAAATAAAAACACAAAATAAGCAGTAATGGGCAAAGTATAATTTCTCTACTGCAATCTATGTGGACTCTCGGAGTGTCCACGGTACTAGCAAGCAGTCTCTTTCTAAGGCGGCCCACACACGTACGAGTCTGGCTCGCGAGTCCGGCTCAGATTAATTTCACCACACACGGACGAGTTTGGCTCATTGGAACCCGAACCGAGTCAGACTCGTACGTGTATGGGCCCCCTAAGCCCTCCTATGACTGAACCAGCCACTCCTAACGCCGAACAGCTGGCCCAAAGTTGTGACGCAAAAAGAAACGCTGAGACTGTTAACTTCTCGCACCCCACTTCCCCCCCCCCTCAATGTAAGAAGCATTCTACGCTCATATATTTCTTGATTTCTTCCCAGCTTTGATAAATATTGGATTTAATGTTGGGTCGTATGTTAGGACCGAATGTTCTTTGTTCTTGTCTTCCGCTTCCTGCAACTTTCCGCTAGGTGCCGGGACGGCGCCACTGGCCACCTCGTTAGCGAAGTTCTGAAAGAGTAGCAGCAGTAACTGGAATGCAGACATAGGAGCAAAGCAGGATCAGCGAACTGTTAATGCCAGTTGAGACTTCGGGAAATACAAGCCTCCTTACTGTAAGGAAACAATACTGACAATGTACTAAGCGACACAGATACGTCTCAACCACAGTCAGCAACGACGGAATCAATTCCACGAGGAATTTAGAGTAAATTTTATGAAAGCAGTCTTCTGGGATGTGGCGCCGTGTACATATTATGTTAGCCGACGTTTCGGAGGAACGTATCGCCTCCATCTTCAGGGTAGAAGAAAAAGAAGAAATCAGCAAGCAAACCAGCGTGGGCAGGTGCAACAGGCTGAGTAAATTTGTTTAGGGAAATTACTTCTGTCATAACTAATTCCGAATTAGTAATCATTCAGCTTGTCAAGAAATTTTCACCGTTCTTTGGAAATCCAAGGTTCGTTCACAACAGCTTGCCCTGGTCCTCACCTTGTGCAACACGAATCCAGTCCATGCTCCCCAATAATATTTCATTAATAACTAATTTTAATATTATACTCTCTGCTGAGATTTGGTCTTCCCAGAGTTCTCATTTCTTCAGGTTTTCCTGCTAAAACACTGTACGCCTGTCTCGTCTCTCCCATGCGTGCTATATGCCCCTTCAATCTCAGCTTCCTTGACTCGATCAACTTAATAACACTTGATGGCCAGTACACATTGTGCAGTTTCCCGTCACGCAGTTTTCCTAAAATTTCCCTCAATTTTCCTTCTCAGCAACTCGGTCTGAAAGTCGTAAAATTGTGGGCTCTTCCTTTAAAGTGAAAACCAAAACAAAAGACGCCGAATTATAGATCTGTATATTCTAAATTTACGTTTTCGGGCTGGCAAGCGAGTAGGTGTTCACTGAAGAGGTTCGCTTGAATCTACTTGCCTTGGAATTAGAATTCAGCCTCAAACACAGTCGCAGTATGTCCGGTATGGTTAGCAGTGTTTCTGTAGGAACATAACACCTTTGTCTCTAGATTGGGGAGCCATTTCTACTTTCCATTCTGAAGATGGAGACAGCTGCCTCCACCAAAATGCAACACGGTGCTATACTCAGAACTTTCACAGCCTTGAAAACAATTCGCAAACTGTGTTTAACACAGATCAGGAAATATGGCGGTTAGTTTTCCCATAAACTCGAACCCCGTGACACTACATTCCTCGAGTCTGTAAGATATCCCAGTATCTGAAACGCCCTGGATAACGTCACTATGAGAGTCGGGTAATTTTTAACGAAACTCGAATGTAACGTTTATTTCTGAAATGTACTGACAAGGCTCTACCAATAAGATTAACCAGAGAGTGACAAGGGACTTGTAATTATGAATAATGAATACGGGAGATGCTCCACCACTGAATGTTAATTCAGGGAATGCGAAGGATTGACTTCATTTGAAGCACAGAGAGACGGGCGTCGCTGCACTTTTCTGTAACGTGACGTTCTTCTCAAACGGGAGATTATCCGATTTGATGTTGCTAGGTTTGAAATATTACCCAGGATGAAAGACTCGTATTGCTAAGAGCGGCAACAGAAAAATTGGGTCTCTGTGTATATGTGCATTATACGCCAGATTCAGTCCAAATTATACTTGAAACAGCAAGTAACTTAAAATGTATCTCATTTAATAGTTAATTCAACAGATAAAATATATGTACATAATTTCCACAGTAACTGAGGTGTGCTAGCTTGTTTGGAATTCGGAAATTTGGAAGATGAAATGAACCGAATATACCAATACATGGAGCGGATTGAGAAAAGGTCAATCTTGAAACTGCAATCTATGGGAACAATATGGGAAAATCTGGGCCATTGCTTTATCGACGCGCCTCTTCTGAGATCCACTGTGTTACTGCTCTGCCCACTTCCTCTCCCCTTCATACTGAACCAAAATAGACAAAATTTCGTCTGGCATTACAATTAGAGACGCCATGTAAGCTCTATGATTTTGTCACTTCAAATATGAATTCAATTTCATTACATGAGGTCTGACGTTCTCGCGTCAGTGAATATTAGGACTGCAGAGTTATGAATTCAAACACTGTGTATCTTCCAAGTCTGGT